ATTCCCAAAAATCCCCACGGTTCTGGGACGTTCCCTGAGCGGGGAACGGCGCCTGAGGCGTTCGGATTTGGGGTTTGAGGGCGAGCCCAAGGAGGAGGTGGCGTGGCCTGGAATTCCCAGAATTCCCAAAAATTCATGGCACTCAGAAAAATTTCCCAAAGTTCCTGGAAGATTTCCCAAAATTCCCCAAAAATCCCTGGGATTCCGAAGCATTCCCGGAGCGGGAAATGGCACCTGAGGTGGTGGGAGTCGGGGATTTGGGATTTTGCTTCCTGGTGGATTTTCCAGGTTTTTCCTTGGATTTGCCAAATTTTCCTGGGAATTGAGCCCTGGGGGGTTTTGGGGCTAATGGATCATTCCCAGCTCTGGGAATTTTGGGAATCTCCAAGATGCAATTCCCACATTTTTGGGGTCTTTTCCCAGCGGCAAAAATCCATTTTTGAGGCCGGATCCTATGGATTTCCCCAATTCCCAGCGGGAATTCTGGGAATTCTGCGAATCTCCATTCTCCAACAAATCCCAATCCGAAACCCCCCAAAAAACTTCGGAAAAACCCCAAAATTCCCCAATTCCCGTCCCAAAACCCCCTCTCTTAAAGGGCCAGCTCCACCAACCCTCAAACCGCCGCCTCTCCCGGCGTTCCCGAGGGGTTTTCCCGGGATTTTCCCGCCATTCCCGGATTTTTCCCCGCAGGTCAAGAGCTTCCTGGAGACGCAGAAGGCGCTGCTGGCCGAGATCCAGAACGGCTGCAAGCGGAATTTCATCCTGGCCAAGGAGAAGGAGGAGAAGGAGCAGCAGCTCCAGCACTCGGCCTCCATGCCCGAGATCTCCGGCAGCGATCCCGAGCCCGGAATTCCCGAAGGAATTCCCGGAATAATTCCCGGCGGCGCTTCCCCAGCCCCGGAGGAGAACGGCAACGCCGCCCCGGCCGGCGATTCCAGCTCGGACACGGAGGAGGAGGAGGAGGAGGAGGAGGATGGGAAGGACTCGAGGGAGGTTGTGGAATCTGGGAATTCCGGGAATTCCGGGAATGGCGAGCGCAGGATTTCCGTCTCCAGCCCCGGCAGAGGCCGCAAGATCTTCGTGGTGACGCGGGTGGAGAACGTTCCCGAGGGATCCGGGGTCGCTCCCGAGGGATCCGGGACCGTTCCCGAGGGATCCGGGGTCGTTCCCGAGGTATCCGAGGTCGTTCCCGAGGGATCCAGGATCATTCCCAAGGAACCTGGGACCGTTCCTGAGGGATCCGGGGTCATTCCCAAGGAATCTGGGACCGTTCCTGAGGGATCCAGGATCATTCCCAAGGAACCTGGGACCGTTCCCGAGGGATCCGGAGCCGCTCCTGAGGGATCCGGAGCCGTTCCCGATGGATTTGAGACTTTCCCTGAAGGATCCAGGAGCGTTCCCGACGGATCTGGCGCTGTTCCCGATGGATCTGGGACAATTTCTGATGGACCTGGAGCCGTTCCTGATGGAGCCGAGGTTGTTCCCGATGGATCCGGGGCCGTTCCCGATGGATCCGGGACAATTCCCGATGGATCTGGAGCCGTTCCTGTCACGTCCAGCACCATTCCCGATGGATCTGGAGCCGTTCCCATCGGATCCAGCGTTGTTCCCGGCGGGTTTGGTGCCGTTCCCGATGGATCTGGGGTTGTTCCCGATGGATCCGGGGCCATTTCCGATGGATCCAACGCTGTTCCTGCCGGATCCGGGGCCGTTCCCGGTGGATCTGGGGTTGTTCCCGATGGATCCAGTGCTGTTCCCGATGGATTTGGAGCCGTTCCCGATGGATCCAGGGCCGTTCCCGATGGATTTGGAGCCGTTCCCGATGGATCCAGGGCCGTTCCCGATGGATTTGGAGCCGTTCCCGACGGATTTGGAGCCGTTCCCGACGGATCCGGGGCCGTTCCCGATGGATCCGGGGCCGTTCCCGATGGATCCGGGGCCGTTCCCGATGGATCCGGGGCCGTTCCCGATGGATCCGGGGCCGTTCCCGATGGATCCGGGGCCGTTCCCGATGGATCCGGGGCCGTTCCCGATGGATCCGGGGCCATTCCCGATGGATCCAGCGCTGTTCCTGATGGATTTGGAGCCGTTCCCGACGGATCCAGCGCTGTTCCTGATGGATTTGGAGCCGTTCCCGACGGATCCGGGGCCGTTCCCGATGGATCCGGGGCCGTTCCCGATGGATCCGGGGCCATTCCCGATGGATCCAGCGCTGTTCCTGATGGATTTGGAGCCGTTCCCGACGGATCCAGCGCTGTTCCTGATGGATTTGGAGCCGTTCCCGACGGATCCGGGGCCGTTCCCGATGGATCCGGGGCCGTTCCCGATGGATCCGGGGCCATTCCCGATGGATCCAGCGCTGTTCCTGATGGATTTGGAGCCGTTCCCGACGGATCCAGCGCTGTTCCTGATGGATTTGGAGCCGTTCCCGACGGATCCGGGGCCGTTCCCGATGGATCCGGGGCCGTTCCCGATGGATCCGGGGCCATTCCCGATGGATCCAGCGCTGTTCCTGATGGATTTGGAGCCGTTCCCGACGGATCCAGCGCTGTTCCTGATGGATTTGGAGCCGTTCCCGACGGATCCGGGGCCGTTCCCGATGGATCCGGGGCCGTTCCCGATGGATCCGGGGCCATTCCCGATGGATCCAGCGCTGTTCCTGATGGATTTGGAGCCGTTCCCGACGGATCCAGCGCTGTTCCTGATGGATTTGGAGCCGTTCCCGACGGATCCGGGGCCGTTCCCGATGGATCCGGGGCCGTTCCCGATGGATCCGGGGCCATTCCCGATGGATCAGGATTTCCGTCTCCAGCCCCGGCAGAGGCCGCAAGATCTTCGTGGTGACGCGGGTGGAGAACGTTCCCGAGGGATCCGGGGTCGCTCCCGAGGGATCCGGGACCGTTCCCGAGGGATCCGGGGTCGTTCCCGAGGTATCCGAGGTCGTTCCCGAGGGATCCAGGATCATTCCCAAGGAACCTGGGACCGTTCCTGAGGGATCCGGGGTCGTTCCCAAGGAATCTGGGACCGTTCCTGAGGGATCCAGGATCATTCCCAAGGAACCTGGGACCGTTCCCGAGGGATCCGGGGTCGTTCCAAAGGAATCTGGGACTGTTCCCGAGGGATCCGGAGATGCTCCTGAGGGATCCGGAGCCGTTCCCGATGGATTTGAGACTTTTCCTGAAGGATCCAGGAGCGTTCCCGACGGATCTGGCGCTGTTCCCGATGGATCTGGGACAATTTCTGATGGACCTGGAGCCGTTCCTGATGGATCCGAGGTTGTTCCCGATGGATCCGGGGCCGTTCCCGATGGATCCGGGACAATTCCCGATGGATCTGGAGCCGTTCCTGTCACGTCCAGCACCATTCCCGATGGATCTGGAGCCGTTCCCATCGGATCCAGCGTTGTTCCCGGCGGGTTTGGTGCCGTTCCCGATGGATCTGGGGTTGTTCCCGATGGATCCGGGGCCATTTCCGATGGATCCAACGCTGTTCCTGCCGGATCCGGGGCCGTTCCCGGTGGATCTGGGGTTGTTCCCGATGGATCCAGCGCTGTTCCAGATGGATTTGGAGCTGTTCCCGACGGATCCGGGGCTGTTCCCGATGGATTTGGAGCTGTTCCCGACGGATCCGGGGCTGTTCCCGATGGATTTGGAGCCGTTCCCGACGGATCCGGGGCCGTTCCCGATGGATCCGGGGCCGTTCCCGATGGATCCGGGGCCATTCCCGATGGATCCAGCGCTGTTCCTGATGGATTTGGAGCCGTTCCCGACGGATCCAGCGCTGTTCCTGATGGATTTGGAGCCGTTCCCGACGGATCCGGGGCCGTTCCTGATGGATTTGGAGCCGTTCCCGATGGATCCAGGGCCGTTCCCGATGGATTTGGAGCCGTTCCCGATGGATTTGGAGCCGTTCCTGACAGATCTGGGGCCATTCCCGTCGGATCCGGGGCCGTTCCCGATGGATTTGGAGCCGTTCCCGATGGATCCGGGGCCATTCCCGACAGATCCGGGGCCGTTCCCGACGGATCCGGGGCCGTTCCCGATCTGCGGCCGCGCCGGGCCGGCGCCTCCGAGGGAATTCCCTGCGGGAGCCCCTCCCGGGATTCTCCTCTTCCCAACGGGCTCAAGGCGGATTTCGCCCGGGCGCTGCCGGAGCCGGGCCCAGAGGGCGACGGGAAATCGGGAATGTGCGCGGCCGAGCACGGTGAGATCCCCAAAATTCCCAAATTCCTGAGGGCTCGGGGCATTCCCGGGAGTTCTGGGATCCCAAATCCCCAAATTCCTGAATTCCCGGATTTCTGGGAGTTCTGAGATCCCGAATTCCCAAATTCCAGAGGGCGTTCCCGGGCTCGGGGCATTCCCGGGAGTTCTGGGATCCCAAATCCCCAAATTCCCAGATTTCTGGGGGTTCTGAGATCCCAAATTCCAGAGGGAGTTCCAGGCTCGGGGCATTCCCGGGAGTTTGGAATTGGGGTGTAAAACTGGGAATGGAGCTCGAATTGGGTTGGAAAAACAGGAAAGGAGCAGGAATTGGGGTGAAAAACTGGGAAAAGAGCTGAAAAAAGTGGGAAAGGAGCAGGAAAATCCCAAATCCCTGGGCTGGGAAGACGAAAAATGGGGAAAGGAGCGGGAAAATCCCAAATCCTTGGGTTGGGAACAAGAAAAATTGGGAAAGGAGCAGGAATTGGGGTGAAAAAATGGGGAAGGAGCAGGAAAATCCCAAATCCTTGGGTTGGGAACAAGAAAAAATGGGAAAGGAGCAGGAAAATCCCAAATCCCTGGGATTGCGGGGGCGGCTCCGGAACGTTCCGCGCTCCGTCCCCGCAGAGCTGAGCTGCTCCCGGAACGAGCAGGAGCTGCAGGAGCTGCTCCTCGAGGCCAGCCAGGACACGGCTCCGGAGCCGCTGTGACCGCAGGTGAGCCGGGAAAAAAATCCCGGAATTCCGGCTCTTCCCGGGCCTGGGAATTCCAGGGAATTTTTTGGGAGTTGTTTCTGGGAATTCCAGGGAATTGCAGCCATCCCGCTCTTCCCACAGGTCCTGGAGGGGGAGGCTCCGGAGCTTTCCCCTCTCCCCAACTCCGCACAAGATTCCAACCAAACCTCGGGAATTTCGGGACTTTTCTTGGGAAAAGGAAAACACGAAACACGCAAAGAAAAAAAACAAAACAAAACAAAAAAACCAACGGATTTTTTTTTTCCCGACTTTTTTTCCCGATTTCTCCTGATTTTTCCCGCCTCCGAGGGGGCAGGGAAGGAGCCGGGACCTTCCTGATCTCCCGGGAATTCCCGGGGTCATTCCCGGCGGGATCCGGCGACACTACAGGGAGCGGGAGTGGCCGGAGCGGCGGGAATTTGGGAATTCCGTCCCTAAAAAAAATCCCGGGATCGGCTGCTCCCGCGGCCCCCACGCTTTATTTATTTTTAATTTCCCTTCCTTTCCGGTGGTTTTGGTTTCTTTGGGAATTTTATCCCGGTTTTTTTCCCCTTTTTTCTGGTTTTTTCCCCCTTTTTTTCCCTGTTTTTTTTTCCCCCCGTCTCTATTTATCACCAGCCGCAGAATTCCCGGGAAAACGGGGAAGGTGGAAAAGGGGAGAAGGGAGGGGCTGGAATTCCTCGGCCATCCCAAATTTCCAGCGGTGTGGGGGAGGGGAAATTCCAGCGGGGATTTCCCAGCCCGGAATTCCCGGAATTCCCGGGGAATTCCCGGGGGTCGCTTTTCTTTCTTAAGTGCAATAAAATCTTTCAGGGAGCTGGCGGGGGGGTGGGGATTGGAATTCCGGGGGGATATTCCCGATATTCCGGCCGGGAATTTTCGCTGGTGTTTCCTGGGTTTGGTTTTGGGTTTTTTTTTTTTTCCTGTCTTTTCCCGGTTTTTGGGTTTTTTTTCCCCCTCGTTTTTCCCCGTGGTGGAATTTTTGTTAACGGCTGTTTTCTAATTAAAGGAATTCTGCATTCGTCACCCGCCCTCTTTTTGGGGGCTCATCCCGCAATTCCAGGATTTTGGGAATTCGTGGATTTGTGGGGGGTGGGTGGGGGTGAAGATCCCAAAAAAAAAACCCCGGAAGAGGCGGGAAATCCCAAAAAATCCCAAAATACAGAGCCGGGGGTGGAAGTTTGTTTATTGGGGGATGATCCTGGGGGGTTTTCCTGGGAATTCCGGGTGGGATGGAGTTTGGGAATGGCTCAAATTTTGGGGCTTTTTTTTGTGAGGATTTTCCCAATTTTCCTTCCCGATTTTCCCTCCCAAAAGAACCCAAGTTTTGGGAAGAGATCCCAAAAATGTCTCAGGGTGGAGGGATCAAAATTCCCTCGGATTTCAGGATCCTTGGGATACCCCTGGATCATCCCAGTCCCCTTCAAGCATTTCCCAGTCACAAAAACTGGGAATAAAACCCCCGGAATTCTCTCTGGATCATCCCAGTCCCCTCCAGCACTTCCAAAATCTGGGATCAAAACCCTGGAATTCCCAATCCCAGTCTCCTCCAGCATCTCCCAGTGACAAAAACTGGGAATAAAACCAAATAATTCCCTTTATATCATCCCAAACCCATCCAACATCTCCAAAAAACAGGAATAAAACCCAGGAATTCCCTCTGGATCTCCTCAGTCCCCTCCAGCATCTCCAGGATCACAGTTCTGGGATAAATCCCCAGAATTCCCAATTCCCGTTCCCCTAAAAAACTTCCCAAATCCTCCAGGAGGTCACCTGGATCAGGTGGTGTCCTGATCCCAATCTCGATCCCAAATCCTGATCCTAAATCCCGTATCCCGAATCCCAATGCCAATCCCAAATCCCCAGTCCCATATCCTGATCCCATGCCTGATGCCAATCCCAAATCCTGATCCCAAATCCCCATGTCATTCCTGCTCCCAAATCCTGATCCCATTCCCAAATCCCGATGCCATTCCTGCTCCCAAATCCTGATCCCATTCCCAAATCCCGATGCCATTCCTGCTCCCAAATCCTGATCCCATTCCCAAATCCCGATGCCATTCCTGCTCCCAAATCCTGATCCCATTCCCAAATCCCGATGCCATTCCTGCTCCCAAATCCTGATCCCATGCCCAAATCCCGATGGCATTCCTGATCCCAAATCCTGGTCCCATTCCCAAATCCCGGTGCCATTCCTGATCCCAAATCCTGATCCCATTCCCAAATCCCGATGGCATTCCTGATCCCAAATCCTGATCCCATTCCCAAATCCCGATGCCATTCCTGCTCCCAAATCCTGATCCCATTCCCAAATCCCGATGCCATTCCTGATCCCAAGTCACAAATCTTGATCCCATTCCCAAAACTCGATGTCATTCCTGATCCAAAATCCCAGTGCCAGTTCCTATCCCAGATCCCAAATCCAAATCCCAAATCTTGATGCCATTCCTGATCCCAAATCACAAATCTGGGTCCTGATCCGAATCCCCAATCCTGATGCCAATCCATCCCATGCCCAAATCCCCAAATCCCAATGCCATTCCAAATCCCGATGCCATTCCTGATCCCAAATCCTGATGCCATTCCAAATCCCGATACCATTCCTGATCCCAAGTCACAAATCTTGATCCTGATGCCATTCCTGATCCCAAATCCTGATGCCAATCCCAAATCCCAGTGCCATTCCAAATCCCGATGCCATTCCTGATCCCAAGTCACAAATCTTGATCCCGATGCCATTCCCAAATCCCGATGCCATTCCCAATCCCCAGTCCTGATGCCAATCCCAAATCCCAGTGCCGTTCCAAATCCCGGTGCCATTCCTGATCCCAAATCCTGATGCCAATCCCAAATCCCGATGCCATTCCTGATCCCAAGTCACAAATCTTGATCCTGATGCCATTCCTGATCCCAAATCCTGATGCCAATCCCAAATCCCAGTGCCATTCCAAATCCCGATGCCATTCCTGATCCCAAGTCACAAATCTTGATCCCGATGCCATTCCCAAATCCCAACCCCAAATCCCGACCCCAAATCCCCAAATCCCGACCCCAAATCCCAAATCCTGACCCCAAATCCCCAAATCCCGATCCCAAACCCCGTTCCCGGCGGGGCTCACCGGGCGCCGGGGCACTGCACCCCTCGGGACACGGGCGCGGCCCTGCCCAGTGCCCGCAGCAGCCCCATCTGCTGCCAAAGCCAATCCCAAATCCCAAATCCCGACCCCAAATCCCCAAATATCCCCAAATCCCGACCCCAAACCCCGTTCCCGGCGGGGCTCACCGGGCGCCGGGGCACTGCACCCCTCGGGACACGGGCGCGGCCCTGCCCAGCCGCGCCAGCGCCCGCAGCAGCCCCATCTGCTGCCGGATGGAATGGTCCAGGTTGACGGTGACGCCGAGCAGCTGCCGCGCCTCGCCGGCGCCGAAGGGGAAATCCCGCGCCAGGAAGGCCTGGAAGAGCTCGGGGTCGCCGTCCAGGCTCAGCACCTTGCCCAGCGGCTGCCGCAGCGCGCTCAGCTCGCCGGCGTGCTCCTGGAAGACGCTCCAGAGCGATTTCTCCGAGCCGCCCGGTGCCGCCGCGCCCTGCCCGGCGTCCTCCAGGCACTGCAGCGTCCAGCTGAGGCGGCAGGGCCAGCGGTCGGCCAGCACCACCCAGGCGGCCGCGGCGCGCGGCGACGGCACGGCGGCGGCGCCGCCGGCGCGGTGCAGCAGCAGCCGCAGCGTGATGGGGATGGTGTTGACGATGCGCCGGACGTTGGCGCCGTTCTCCGGCAGGTAGCGGCTCAAAACGTCGGAACCGTCGTGGAGGCACCGGAACGCCTCGTGGATCCACGCCACCGCCTCGGAATCCGCCTCCTTCCAGCTGGGCGCCTCCGGAACGCCGCCGCGGCAGCAGCCACCGCGGGTTTTGGCGACGTTGCCGGCGATGATGCGGTACATGAGGTCCTCGCGCGTCTGGATGGCGGCGGCCACGCTGCGCAGGCGGGAGCGGGCGCCCATCTCGGGGATGGAGAAGGGCAGCGTGACGGCGCGGTTCAGGTACAGGTAGCCATTGTCCGCCAGCCCCTTCATGCAGCCCGTCTGCTCCAGGCACGGCACGATGACGCTGGGGTCCACGGCCAGCAGGAAGATGAAGGGCGCGTTGGCGTCCGACAGCAGCGTGGCCATGGCGTTGAAGACTCCGGCCACTTTCTCCGGGTAGCAGAGGTCCAGGCTGGTGATCTCCAGCACCACGCGGAGCCGCCGGCGCTCGAAGACTTCCATGAAAGCCAAATAATCCACCAAGACCTCCACCTCGTCGCGGATCTTGCTCATGAAACCCAACTGCCCGGCGAACCTGTCGCTGTTGGTCAAGCGCTCGATCTTCTTCTTCTCGCTGACCAGGAAGTTCTTGAGGATGGACAAGGCGCCCAGCACCAGCGAGGAGCCCGACAGCGAGGCCACGGCGCTGCCCACCACCTTGAGGGCGTGGTGGTCCTTGATGCCCGGCACCAACAGGGCCACCAGGAGGATGGCGATGCCCACGGCCAGCACCAGCAGCAGCCCCCAGAGCCGCAGGCAGGTCCCTTTCTTCAGGACCCACTCGCGCTGCGAGAAGCCGGAGGCGAAGCGCGGCCGCGAGCCCAGCACGTGGAAGACGCTGAGCGGCAAGGCGCCGAAGTGCTGCCGGACGTGGTGGCACAGCGTGGTCACCAGCCCCGCCCAGAGCTTGTCGCAGCCGGCGAACTCCCAGGCGCTGAAGCGGATGAAGATGAACTCCAGGTTCTTCCTCCGCAGGTGGCCCTCGGTCACCACGGGCTCGTAGAAGGCCAGGAGCCACAGGGCCTCCAGCAGGCCCCAGCCGTGGGGGCTGCGCGGCTTGCGGTGGCCCCGGCGCAGCTCGGCGGCTTCGCGTTGGGCCATCTCCTCCCGCATGAAGGCTGGCAGCAAGAGTGGGGGTTGGGGTTTGGGGTGGTTTTTGGGGTTGGATTTGGTGTTTGGGGTGGGTGAGATTGGATAGGGTTGTGTTGAGTTGGGTTGGGTTGGATTGGGTTGAGTTGGGTTGGATTGTGTTGAGTTGGGTTGTGTTGGGTTGGGTTGGGTTGGATTGAGTTGGGTTGGGTTGTGTTGGGTTGGGTTGGGTTGGATTGAGTTGGGTTGGGTTGAGTTGGGTTGGATCGTATTGAGTTGGGTTGGGTTGAGTTGGATCGTATTGGGTTGGGTTGAATTGGG